TGATATATAGCATTAATGACAAAACAAAAGCCAGTCGCAACAGTTATTCAAAGTCAATCCTATATAGAAATGGATAGCATGCCCCTGTGCTGAGTTTGCAGGAATGAACAAAGGAATTTTTAACTAGAAAAATAGTTTCTAAAAGGAAAAATCAATTATCAAGAATTTTGAAACAGGATAAAATTTATAATACAATGTCAAGCTGTCCACTTACGTTGCATTCTAATACCATTTATATAAAGATGGAAGATTCTCTCACAAAGTGGACAAGGTAACTATACAATAGAAGATACATCCTCCAAGCCCATTTTCTCTGCATTAGTCGGCATCATGAGTTTCATATATTCATAAGTGGATATTACAAACAACTGGGGTGCATTTATGTTTGCTAAAGAATAGCTGCAGATGTGCATTGCTCCCGACAGTTTTTTAAGTACATAATTTACACTTAAGATATAACAAACACCTACTGGCAAGATTTTCCCTGAAAACCAATTGGTTCTATTTAATGGTTCCACCTACATCTCTTATATTAAGAGTTTTTAAGTGTGCACCTAAAATATAACTTGTGAATCAAAAAGGACACTTTGGGGAACACGGTCACACGTTAAGGAGACTGGTAGAATTTAATAGAATTCACCAACAATTCATAAATCAAAATATTCCAAACTCAAATTTGAGAGCCAGGATTTTTGGGGTTAAAAAAAAATTGGTGCTCAAAGGTTTTGCCTCTATGTTTTTCTAAATTTGGGTCAAAAGGGTGCCATTCATTCCATCTTCTCAGTGTTTCATCACCTGTGATTATCTCACTTTAAAAAAAACCCTGCAGGCTATGGAGGACTTGAAAGGGTATTAGCCAATGCCAGTAACCAAAAAAGTATACAGTACTGTTACTATCCTTATTCTGTTTGTGGACTGCATTGAAAGAAATCAGTGTTGTTTCTTTATCTTGACAGCTATACTATACAAACTGGAAATGCTTGATTTTTTTTTTAAAAAATCCCCTTGGCCATTTTTCCTGTAAATTGCATAGTAGGTAGCATTTAGTGTGGATTACTATACTATGTAGGTCAAAAAAACAAGGAAGTAAGAGCTATTTCAACTTCCCATTATACTTTATGATGAAATTGTGAAAACTTTCTTGGTCCATGGACTGGTATTGGGCCGTGGCATGCCAACAACCAGTCCACACAAACAAGCAAAGCCCAATCTGCAGGATGCAGGCAGCACACAAAACCACGCCCCCCTCCAGTCCTCGGAAAAACCTTTCTCCACTTAACCGGTCCCTGGTGCCCAAAAGGTTGGGGACCTCTGATTTAAAACACAATATATTTGAAATTGTTTGCTAAAGAATAGCTGCAAAAACATATTTTTCCTTCAGTTTTTCTAGCACATAATTTACATTTATGGCATAAGAAATACACACTGACAAGATTTTCCCTGTAAATCAGTTTGTTCAAAATAATGGTCCTTCCATATATTTCAGATAATTCTTAGATTATATATTAGAGTTTTTAAGTGGGCACCTAAGATGCAATTGTTTTAATGGAGTGTTCTGAGTTGGTCTAATTTCTTTCGCTTAGGCCAAACACCTCATGTTTCGTTTGATGCAATTTTCTATTGTTAATATGTAATGTCTGAGAAAGGGAACAAATTAAATCTATGAAATCTTTGGGTGGGTCTCTCAGTCCAACCCACCTCATGGATAGTTATGGGGAAAGCAAGAGGAAGGAGTACAGGTAGTGCTCTCAACTTATTACTATAATTGAGCCCACAAATTTGATTAAGTTGGGTGATGAAATTTTGCCCTATTTTACCTTTTTTGCAGAGGTCATTAAGCAAACATGACAATCATTAAATGAACATGCTGGCTGTTAAACAATCTACCACTGTTCATTCTGGGGCAGTTTTTGCTGGAAACTGTTTCTGGTGAAAATGTCATAAATTGCCATCATATGAGCATGATGCACTGCAGATAGCCATAAATGTGGGCTGATTGCTAATTGGCCAAACTGGGTCATGTGACTACAGGAGGGGAGGCCTGCACATTGGAACTATGAATCTGGATCAAAAGTCCATTTTGGGTTCCATCATAATTTTGAATGTTTGCTAAGTGACCAGCCACAAGTCAAGAACTACCTGTATTAAGTATGCTTGCTGGCTTGAGTTGAAAGAAAGGATATTTCAACAGCAGGTATTTAAAGCAGTTTTAATGCAAAAGTATTATTGGAAATCATTAACAGGAATTACTGTCCCTGATTCCACTTTCTATTTCTCAGGATAAGCAAATATGTGTGCATGTATATAAATAAAACAACAGAAACTAACAACAAAACAACAGAAACAATGAGCAGTTGTGACTGCTCCATTACTGGAGGTTTTTAAGAGAATGGACAGCCATTTGTCTGAAATGGTATAGGGCAGGGATAGGCAACCTTGGCTCTTTTATGACTCGTGGACTTCAACTCCCAGAATTCCTGAGCCAGCATGGCTGGCTCAGGAATTCTGGGAGTTGAAGTCCATGAGTCATAAAAGAGCCAAGGTTGCCTATCCCTGGTATAGGGTCTTCTGCCTGAGCAGGGGGTTAGACTAGAAGACTTCCAAAATCTCTTACCACTTTAATATTCTGTTGGAAACTATCAGGATTGTTTAGAAGTTCATGATAGTTTGCAATACTGCACATTTCAATATTCTTTTGCAAACCAGAAGGAATACTAACATTCAATAAAAGCATAAAATATTTTAATTGGCACCAACTTCTCCAGGACTGTTAATTCTTTCAATGAAAATCCTGAAAGCAAATGCATTTATGATCATACCAAAATGTTACAGGCAATACATTCTTTGTTTTAGCTGTTTTAAAATCTTTATAAAATGGAAATAACTTCATTTGTCTGTCCAGGTCCTCCTGTATCTTAAGCCTATCTTCTGGAGTGTTGGCTATTCCTGCCAGCTTGGTGTCGTCTGCAAATTTGATGAGTTCCCCAAGGGAATAAATGGGGAACTCATCAAATTTGCAGACAACACCAAGCTGGCAGGAATAGCCAACACTCCAGAAGACAGGCTTAAGATACAGGAGGATCTGGACAGACTTGAACATTGGACGCTATCTAACAAAATGAAATTCAATGGTGAAAAAAGTAAGGTTCTACATTTAGGCAAGAAAAACCAAATGTACAGGTATAGCATAGGGGGTACCTTGCTCAATAGTAGTAACTGTGAGAGGGATCTTGGAATCCTAGTGGACAATCACTTAAATATGAGCCAGCAGTGTGCTGCAACTGCCAAAAAAGCCAACACAGTGCTAGGCTGCATTAACAGAGGGATAGAATCAAGATCCTGTGAAGTATTAATACCACTTTACAATGCCTTGGTAAGGCCACACTTGGAATACTGCATCCAGTTTTGGTCACCACGATGTAAAAAAGATGTTGAGATTCTAGAAAGAATACAGAGAAGAGGATCAAAGATGATTAGGGGACTGGAGGCTAAAATGGCTAAAAGGAATGGTTGCTGGAATTGGGTATGCCTAGTTTAATGAAGAGAAGGACGAGGGGGGACATGATAGCAGTGTTCCAATATCTCAGGGGCTGCCACAAAGAAGAGGGAGTCAAGCTATTCTCCAAAGCACCTGAAGGCAGGACAAGAAACAACAGATGGAAACTAATCAAGGAAAGAAGCAACCTAGAACTAAGGAGAAATTTCCTGACAGTTAGAACAATTAACCAGTGGAACAACCTGCCTCCAGAAGCGGTGAATGCTCCAATACTGGAAGCTTTTAAGAAGAGACTGGACAGCCATTTGTCTGTAATGGTATAGGGTTTCCTGTGTGAGCAGGGGATTGGATTAGATGACCTCCAAGGTCCCCTTCAACCTTATTATTATTTCAAAATCAGAACATCTCTCCAGTGTTCTGGATATTAAATAAGCTCTCTGCAAGTGGCAAAGGAATACTCTGCCAGTTACTACACAATACTCCACTCATCTACCCGATCTCATCTCACTTGTACTTAAGAAATTAGAGGCATAAAGGAGGCCAGTCCAAAATATTCAAAAGACAGTATTAGTTTGCATGTTATGTCATTCATGAGAACACAAATGAAGTACCATTCTTCAAACTGCTGAGGCAGCTGTTTTGCAATATAGATGCAGCAGCTTTGAAACCTGTTATTCTCAGCATGCATCTGCCTGGCTAGCCACTTTGCTTTGCTGGTGGTCCCTCTGTTAGTATTATCTGTGCATTCACATACATGGACACCCAGAGATAGCTTTTGATGTGCAAGCCTTGCAAAACATGTGGGTGCTTTCATACTGCTTTTTTTTAAAATCCCTTCTTTTGTATACCTACATATTGCCAAAGGATCTCTTCTGAATACTTTGCACAAACCTACCAAAATATAGATTTTAGGGAGCTAACATTAATTCCAAAGGCCCCTATTTCTTGCCATCTCTTAATAAAGGGCAGTGTCACAACTGTTATATTTTCATAAATAACGTGCAGTGTTGAATTTTAAACTTTTTATCAGTGATGTTGTTCATATATTTAAAATGGTGCAGATATAGCTGACAATAGATATGGCAAATACTTAAAGCAGAAGTTACAGGAGAACATCTAAGCAGTGCGCAGACAGATAGCATTTTATCCATTTTTTTCATCTTTCAAGGGAAGCAGAGGGCGTCAACTTCTATACCAGGGGTAGGCAACCTTGGCTCTTTTATGACTCGTGGACTTCAACTCCCAGAATAGCTGGCTCAGGAATTCTGGGAGTTGAAGTCCACGAGTCATAAAAGAGCCAAGGTTGCCTACCCGTTCTATACAGTAAGCCCTTTAGTCCCAACGTTAAACAGATGCCGAATCAGAAGAAATATATTTTGTTTGCTTTCTGAAACTAGAATCCATTTATTAAAAGGGGTTTTAGCCACTAGGTTCAGGCAAGAAAGACATTGATTGGGACCAGAAGCTATTTATACATACTTAACAAAAACAGATAATAAAATCTAAAAAAAGAGCTACCAATAAATAGTCCCCTACCGGTCACACAATACCTTGTACAGCAGTGACTGCAGGAAATCAACTTTGTTTCAGTAGGCTGTGTAACATCAACTTTGACCTAATTCAACAAACAGGAAAACATTATTATCCAGAACAGAACCATCTTCAATATCTTTACACATCAATACGAATCCCATGTTTTATTGACATTAGTTCTCTTGTTCCGGTTAAATACAAAAGAAAAGAACAGAGATGAGGCAAAGTTGTGGTGACGGCCACATAAAGCCAGTAAGGCAGGGGAACGGTCTTTCCAAAGGGGCAGAGCCACAGGCCATGACGTATTCCATCTCGAACATGATGCGAAGTCCAGGAGATAAACATCATCCAGGGAAGAAAGCACCAGGAATCCTTCAGCTTGAGAAGATGCATAAGGAACTTTAACATCAGGCACACAACTGGAATCACAGTAGAACAGTGAAGAAATGGTCTTTGTGGGAGAGTCAGGGCAGCCTGAGAGGGAGAGGGAAAAAAATAATTATACAAACGTAGCTTGTATTGGAAAGGAAAAGCATATGCTGTTTTTTAAGAGGAAAAAAAAGGTTTATAACAGCTACACCAAACTAAGCTGATTTGCATTTTGACTAAAATCAACACATATGTCAGAAAGTATTAATTATCAGGATTATCTATCAGTAGAATTTTTATATTTAATGCTTTGCATGTTCTAGTATTCGCTGCTATTCCAAGTTTTGGTAAATGCAGTTCATTTAACTCAGGGGTAGTCAACCTTGGCTCTTTTATGACTCGTGGACTTCAATTCCCAGCTGGCTCAGGAATTCTGGGAGTTGAAGTCCACGAGTCATAAAAGAGCCAAGGTTGACTACCCCTGATTTAACTGATAGCTTGGACACATTGTCTGGTTGCTAGCCCTGGAACTGCTATTCATTTTTAAAATTTACTTGGCTGCTGAACTGGGAACAAGGGAGTGATAAGTAATACTGATTGCAGACTTCCTTATTTTGGCAAAAAGCTCTAATTCTACATTTTTCTGGCAGATTTGGGAGTTAGTTAAGTAAAAAATGGCAATTCTAAATGAACAAAAATAAAATCTTTCAGTTTAAAGTTGCCAGTGAGAGTACCTATTTGAAATCATTTATAAATAATCCTATTTCCCAATTTCAGCTAAAATTGTTTGTACGTAGGTTATTAATATCTGATTAAATAAAATATTGCCGGCATATGTGTAGGTTGACTAAGGTCTTTTTGAAGAGGATCTGTTATGGTAATAACCACATAGTAAGTAAGATTCTGAGTTGTTTACACGGTAACTATCCCGCTGTACTCTTTAGCAATATTATTGCAGCTTGAACTCCAGACAATAGAGAAATGTAAGGAGAAGTGGTTCAGGTGTTGACTGCTATTGGGGAGATCCAAGATCCATATTTCCCATGAAAACTATCTGGGTGTCTTTGCATTAGTCACAATCTCTCAGGCCAGTCTACCTCATAGGGTTGCCATTGTGGGATTATTTATGAGGAAGCATTTGGGATAACACACACACACACATTAGCTGTTATACCCCTACTGCAGGAAATATTCATTTTTTTTTACTATAATACAAAATACGCAAAGATCTCAATTATTACATTTGTTGCATTATTTCTGATCAGTGTTTGATATTGATAGAGCTGTCATGATCAAAAACCTTATGCCCTGGATTATCAAAAGACAATAAAAAATTAGGACAACTAATTGAGCATATTAAAAACTTGCTCCTTTGAGGTTTTTTAAAGCAGATTGTCCTTAAAACCTCAGTTCTATACCAGATAGATATTTTGCTCTATTAAATAAGGCAACTACTATCTTTAGTCTGTTTCACCTGTCGTTGGCAGCTTATGTGAACCAGAAGTAAGGAATATAAATTATGATCACAATGAATGGATAAGCCTTCAGTGCTTCCATCTATCAAACGTAAAAAACCAAGTCCCTTGAATACATTAATCCTACTGAATAAAAGTTTGTAAATAAGAGTTAAATGAGAATTAGAAATCCTGCATGTAAAATCAGTACATTCAAATTCTTTTTCAAGTATGCCATCTACTGGAAAAAGGTGTGATAAAACAATTTTATTGCTACCTGTTTTAAAATGCTAGAGGGAAGATCTTTAAAAAATATCAATATTGAATGCTAAGTTATTTCACTCTACTGTGTGATGGTAATTTTTATTTCAAATATATCTTTGCCTCTTAAATACACTATCCAAAAAGAGGGAACACAAACCAAAAAATAAATCTTTTTTTTTAATGAAATCTTAAAGTAAATTCTTCCCACTGTATTTTCTTAACTGGGCACACCTCAATTATAATTCTCTATCAGGCACTTTTAATAAATTATAATTTTATGATAGCAGTATACTTTTACATATGGAAATTACAAGATTAAAAAGCCTGAATGTTAAACCTGATTTTGTGGTTGACCAACCTGCCTATTAAACAGCACAACAAACTTTGCTATTATTCCAAAAATCTTGAAGTAAGTATCTGAAGTGCGTGGAATGGGACAAGCTGAGCAGCATTATCAGAGGATTATGCTTAGTTGATTATACAGATCTTATAATTGATGTCATGCTAAGTTTCCCCCTCCTTAGCTAAGGAACCAACCAAGCAGCCAATCACAACACTGGTCAAATTAGGATGAGGGCATCAAAAGGTACTCGGCACAGAAACAATATAATGCACAGTTTTTCTAAACAATCAGACTGGATTGTTTTTATTGATTCTCAGGCTTAATATTCACACGTTTTAGAAAGCTTTCCATTTTTTTTTAGCTATGGCATTCAACTAAGAGATGGAAATAGTTGATAAACAATGAGCTTTCATCCTCTCCAGTTTAAATATAGGTGACAATGAAGATACTTCTGGAGAATAAAATCCTTTACGGTTATCCCCTGCCCCCAATTTCACTGTGAATTTTTTACTGTTTGTTCACCATGGATTTCTCCACATAATGTACTAAGTCAGGATAAAAATCTAATAATGAAATAAAGCATGTGTTTTGTGTGAAGCAAACTAATGTGGTATGAAACCTTAGCCAACACTAAGCGTTATGACTGAACCAGGCTATTCAATAAACTACTGTGAAAACTAGCCAAAGTTTATGTGCACTCCCCATGAAACAAATACTAAACTCCAGAATTTCCTCCAGAAAAACCTGGGAAGATCTGCCTCTAACATTAGACAACCTATGCTATTTCTTTTCATAGCAAACACATCCTGTAAAGCCAGTCCGTATCAAACTGTGTATGTCTAAGAATAGAGTGAATGAGTGATTTCACCCTAAAACTAAATGTAAATTATTCCCTAGCTCTGGACAGCAAACGGCATGAAAAACTGTCCAAGTTTCTTTTTAATCAAATTCAGCACAGGCAAGAAGGAGTCACATCAGGGTGGCCACCACAAAATACTACTTCTATTATACAATAAAAGTTGTAACTTAGAAGTCTACTAAATAGATTTGCTAAAACCTGAAATCGTGATTTTAATATAAAAAGTTTTAAACTAATTTTTGCAACATTTATATTATTCTTTAAAGTATCTTCAGATTTATTTACTCATAAATATTCTAGAAATTTTGCTTACCTTTAGTGAAAAGGAGCCAGCTAGAATAAAATGATCCATATCAATCACGGAGGAGAGGAAGCCAGCTAAAATTACTTCTGTAAAGTCACTTTTTTTCTTGAGTCCAATCACTATTGCCCATGACCACAGTCCTATAATACCATGCACCATATTATCGGACAATGCCCGCAGCCAGTAAGTTTGCTGAATGAAAGAAAATTGTAGAAGTTTATCTGCTAAATAGCAGAAAATCCCCAGTCCTAGACTTGAAATAACAGATGCTGTGCTGAACAACTGGAGAAGAGCATGGGCTTTTTCAGTCTCAGATGCCATAGCAAGCAGCATGTGTCCATGCACAAAATCTCATCAGGGTACATATAGCCCATTGTCTGTAAAATCTTGAGTCATTCTGTAATTATCACAAAGAAAGCTTAATGAGAAGCCTTACCAATTCTGATACTCTTCTTCCTAAGCAAAAACATAATAGAAACCAGTGAACTAATTATCTCTGTAAAAACATTTTTTTTAGGTCACTGTCCCAGAGAGGAAACTTTGTACCCTGGATGCACAGTTTATAATGTTTTTTGCATTTTGACATCACTGTATTATTTTCAAAAGTTGGTAATGAAACATTTGCAAGAAAACAAGCAAGCTCAGAGAGCACCAAGAACCTCTTATATCTTTTCTGATTTTTATTCTACTTTTCTCTCTTAAGACCTTTTAAATATCTTTAAATGTTGGTTTGTCTAACCTTCCTCTCTAGCAAAAGTACATATGGTTATGTACATTTATTTGCAATTGATAAATTTATCTTCATAAAAAAAGCACTTTTCAATTATTTTTTGGAAGGTAAACACAACATATGCTGATCAATTCTTAAACAGAATTACAGGACTAGTTATAAAGGAAACAATAATAATTATTAAAATAACATTAAAATTATTAAATTATATTTAACAATGCTTGTTATTTGTTATAACATGTTTATTATGTCCATATTCACATTACCCAGTCCTTGTCTCAAAATGGGATGATATTTTCTGAATGCTTGGTACAAACTATATTTCAGAAATGATTCTGAAACTTGATTGCATCCTGCATTTAGCATCAGATGATGATATTAAAATAATTATAGTTACTCTTGTCTGACAATCTATAAGATATATCCATTTCCATCAGCCATTCTGGAGGGTTCATTTGGGAATCATTACAAAATTATAAATCTAGAGAATATGGCAAAAGTAAAGATTTAAAAATGAAGGGCTGGTTTGCTTGTACTTTGGTAAGGAAAGTTTGATATATTAAGTAAAAAAAAAAGTTTAGTGATTAAAGATATATTTAGAATCATAGAACTAAATCTGACATAGATTGTTATACAAGTGGAAACAGCAACAGGAGGAAACACTGTAGAAATCAACATTACAGTGGAGTATGATCTAATATGTTACTTCTTATTTAGAGCTGATTTCATGCACTCCATCTTCCAGCACTCTCAACTGGAGGATGGGGTCAATCAAATTCTATGTTATTTATAACTGTGATTTTTGTATGAATTCATAAGATAGTTTATCAGATACACTAAATTGCTAGATATTACATAAAACATTTAAAAAGAAAAGCTTACTAATTTATTCATAGAGACTTTGTCTTTATAGCCATAGTTTAAAAAGTGGCTATTACCATTGTAGCATTGTTTTTATCTGAGAGTAAAATTTTAACATATTCTCTTCCTGGTCTTGATTTTAAAGTAGGCCAGATTATATCTTGCTTTAGTAATTTTATTTTATAAATGCAATTCCATGCTGAATTCAGTACTTTAATCTTCTGATAATATTTTGGCCTCTTCTAGCTTTCAAAAGACTTGTATTCTATTGTTTTAGTGAAAAAAGAAAAATAATGTATATGCATTTAAGAACTATGGAAAATGTATATCCCTAAGGAAAGCTTAACATTATACTTCAAACAAACAGTGCACCTGATAATTGCTAGGATAACAGCTTAACTAAAAATTATGTTTTACTGCAGAGCAATCACTCACAATATAAATAAATTTGCAACTTATGTTCACTTTTCTAGTTGTAATATTGTTATGCTACTGATTTTTTTTAAAGTTATGTAACTACTTTAGATACCTGTTGCTGTCTAGCAAAAGAACAGAATGAACCTGAGATTTTATAGAAGCTGTAAATATCTACAGGATGGGATACAAAGATCATGTTTAAAAGATAGCATTTTGAATTTTTTTATGCCTGAAACCAGAAAAAAATACACGCAAACGTACCACTCATCAAAACATGTGGACTTATTTGTATGATTATTCTACTCTTTCCAATACTCCTTATCTGTCCTGTTAATTGTTTAGTTATAGAATTACTGCTGTATATAATCTGTGATCTACTTTAAAACCCAACCCTATTAATGTTATTGTTTTAACATTCCACTTAAGACATAATTCCTGGTTTCTGCTACCTTCATTTCTTCCCACTAAATCAATTTATACCTTTATTTAAATCCCAGGAGAAATGTTCATATGTAGGAACATATGAAGAATGGTTGCAGGATTTGGGTTTGTCTAGTCTAGAGAAAAGAAGGGCAGGGGTGACATGATAGCAGTACTCCAGCATTTGAGCGGCTGCCACAAAGAAGAGGGGGGTCAACTTATTTTCCAAGCCCCTGAAGGCAGGACAAGAAGCAATGGCTGGAAACTAATCAAGGAGAGAAGCAACCTGGAATTAAGGAGGAATTTCCTGACAGTGAGAACAAGTAACCAGTGGAACGACTTGTCTCCAGACGTTGTGGCTGCTCCAACACTGGAAGTTTTTAAGAAGAGGCTGGACAACCACTTGTCTGAAATGATATAGGGCAGTGATGGCGAACCTTTTAGAGACCGAGTGCCCAAACTGCAACCCAAAACCCACTTATGCATCGTAGTGTGCCGGGTGGGTGTGGCTCATTGGGTGGGTATGGCCCATTGGGTGGGCATGGCTGCGGTGGTAACAGCAGACTGGGTGGGACTAAAAATCAATCAATTCCAACTTTGCAAGATCTTTTTTTTCCCGCAAGAAGTTGAAATTGACTGATTGAACCTTTTTTTTTTTTTTGCACACGGTGGCAGAGGCCTAAAGTGAAAAGGTTTTATAAAACCCAGCTGAAGGCCTAGAACTGGGTGACGGCGTGCGTGCCCACAGAGAGGGCTCTGAGTGCCGCCTCTGGCACCCGTGCCATAGGTTCGCCACCACTGATATAGGGTTTCCTGCCTGAGCAGGGGTTGGACTACATGACCTCCAAGGTCCCTTCCAGCTCTTGGAATGCCGCTGGCTGCTGCTCCATGCTCCCCTAAGATGTAAACATCTACACCAGGGGTAGGCAACCTTGGCTCTTTTATGACTCGTGGACTTCAACTCCCAGAATTCCTGAGCCAGCGTGGCTCAGCTTGGAAACTCTCCCTTTCCTCTCAGCGTGGCTGGCTCAGGAATTCTGGGAGTTGAAGTCCACGAGTCATAAAAGAGCCAAGGTTGCCTACCCCTGATCGACACCATTATTTAATCACCCTTCCCCGCAGGCCTCGCCTGCCAGAACGGCCAGAAGCTCAGCTGGCGAGGCTTTATCCAAGTGCCGAAGGTGCAGGGATGGAGGCGAGGCGGGACGGGGCGGGGAAGACATGGCTGAACGCTGCCCATCCTCTGCGCTCTCTCGCTGCTGAGCGCAGCGAGGTTTTCCCCTGTTGAGTTTCTGCCTTGGAAAAAGGCAGGGCCTCCCCCTCGCCCCCAGGAGGGAAGAGACAATGGCCGAGGGCCACACTGGGCGACGCTCCTCGCATCCTTCCCTCTCGCCCACGAGGCGCCTCTCCGCCAGCCCGGCGTCCGCTCGCGGCTGGTTCTTCCCCAGCCTCGGTGCCCTTCCGGATTCCCCAAAGGGATCCCGGCTTCGGGGGGGGGGGGTTTGAGGCCCGTTCCCTGCTTTCCCCCCCCCTTCCCCGATACGGTCCCTGCGCCCCACTCACCTCCCGCCGGCCCGAAAAGGCGCTCATTCACCGGCAACGCGCGCGGAGCATTCTGGGCCGGCTACCGGGCTGCGGAGATGAGAAGCCCCGCCCATCCACCTCCCTCCCGCCGCCTCCCTCCCTGGTATTTCCCGGTCTCCGCCTGCCGGCGTGCAAACATCGGCATCCGTGCGACACGTTGGGGCTAGCATCAGGGGTAGGCAAGCTTGGCTCTTTTATGACTCGTGGACTTCAACTCCCAGAATTCCTGAGCCAGCTTGGCTGGCTCAGGAATTCTGGGAGTTGAAGTCCACGAGTCATAAAAGAGCCAAGGTTGCCTACCCCTGGGCTAGCTGAACACGGGGCGTGTTTTTAAAGGCCTGGGAAATGAAGGGATACTCGCTGTTGTAAGTCTATTGGGCTTCATTTTTCGTTTTATAAAAAAACTAACGTCTCAGGTTTTTTTTTTTTTTTTAAAAAACAGGTATGGAAATGTTCATTCATTTCTCTTGGCAATGTTGTTGAAAGGGCTTGGCACAGTCTTCTAGGATGTAAGGAGCTTTTTGGTCTTTTTTTTTT